GAAGTTTATAGCAATACAGGCCTATCTCAACAAACAAGAAAAATCTCAAATAAACAGTCTAAAGGTGCACCTAAAGAACTAGGAAAAGAAGAAGAAACAAAGCCCAAAATCAGTAGAAGAAAGGAAATAATAAAAATCAGAGTGGAAATAAATGAAATAGAGACTAAAAAAACAATAGAAAAAAATCAATGAAGCCAAGAGCTGGTTCTTTGAAAAGATAAACAAATTTGACAAACTTTTAGCTAGACTCACCAAGAAAAAAGAGAGAAGGCTCAAATAAATAAAATCAGAAATGAAAGAGGATAAATTACAATGGATAGCTCAGAAATACAAACGATTATGAGAATACTTTGAAAAGCTATGCCAACAAATTGGATACTCTAGAAGAATTGGATAAATTCTTAGAATCATACAACCTTCCAAAACTGGATCAAGAAGAAGTAGAGAATTTGAATAGACCAAATCACCAGTAAAGAGGTCGAAACTGTAATCAAAACCTCCCAAAAAATACAAGTCCAGGACCAGACATTTTCCCCAGTGAATTTTACCAAATATTCAATGAAGACTTAATACCTATCCTTCTCAAACTTTCCCAAAAAATTGAAGAGGAGGGGAAGCTTCCTAACTCATTCTATGAAGCCAACATTACCCTGATACCAGAACCAAACAAGGACAACACAAAAAAAGAAAATTACAGACCAATATCAGTGATGAACATTGATGCAAAAATCCTCAACAAAATACTAGAAAATCAAATACAATAATACATTAAAAAGATCATACACCATGATCAAGTGGGATTTATTCCAGGGATGGTTCAACATCCGCAACTCAATCAACGTGATACACCACATTAAGAAAATGAAGACTGAAAAATCACATGATCATTTCAATAGATGCAAAGAAATCATTTGACAAGATACAGCATCCATTTAATGATAAAAACCTTGAATAAAATGGGTATAAAAGGAAAGTACCTCAACATAAGAAAGGCCATATATGACAAACCCACAGCTAATATCATTCTTAATGGAGAAAAACTGAAAGCTAACCCTCTAAGAATAGGAACCAGACAAGGATGCCCACTTTCACCACTCTTATTTAACATAGTATTGGAAGTCCTAACCACAGGAATCAGGCAAGAGAAAGAAATAAAAGTGATCCAAATTGGAAAGGAAGAAGTGAAACTGTCGTTATTTGCAGATGACATGATTTTATGTATAGCAAACCCTAAAGAATCAACCAAAAAACTTTTATAAATAATAAATGAAAGCAGTAAAGTTGCAGGATACAAAATCAACATACAAAAGTCAGTTGCATTTCTATATACTAACAACAACGTAGCAGAAAGAGAAATTAAGAATACAATCCTATTTACAATTGCAACAAAAAGAATAAAATATCTAGGCATAATCTTAACCAAAGACGTGAAAGACCTGTACACTGAAAACTATAAAAGAATGTTGAAAGAATTAGAAAAGGACACAAAGAGATGGAAAGATATTCCTTGTTATTGGATTGGAAGAATTAACATAGCTAAAATGTCCATATTTCCCTAAGCAATCTACAGATTCAATGAAATCCCTGTCAAAGTTCCAATGACAATTTTCACAGAAATAGAACAAAGAATCCTAAAATTTATATGGAACAACAAAAGACCCCAATTAGCCAAAGGAATCCTGAGAAAAAAGAACAAAGTTGGAGGTATCATGCTCCCTGATTTCAAAATATAGTACAAAGCTATAGTAATCAAAACAGCATGGTATTAGCACAAAAACAGACACACAGATCAATGGAACAGAATCAAAATTCAAGAAATAAACCCAGACGTCTACTAACAGCTAATTTTCAACAAGGGAGCCAATAACATACAATGGAGAAAGAAAAATATCTTCAATAAATGGTGTTGGGAAAACTGGACAGCCACACACAAAAGAATGAAAGTAGACCGTTATCTTACACCATACACAAAAAGGATGTTGAACAACAGGAACTCTCATTCATTGTTGGTGGGAATGCAAAATAGCACAGCCGCTTTGGAAGACAGTTTGGCAATTTCTTTTAAAACTAAATATGCTCACACCATATGATTGAGTAATCATACTCCTTGGTATTTACCCAAAAGAGTTGAAAACTAATATCTACACAAAAACCTATACATGAATGTTTACAGCAGCTTATTCATAATTGCCAAAACTTGGAAGCAGCCATGATGTCCTTCAGTAGGTGAATGGAAAAATAAACTGTGGTATATCTGGACAATGGAATATTATTCAGAGTTAAAAAGTAATCATCTATCAAGCCATGAAGAGAACTGGAGGAAACTTGAATGCATATTACTAAGTGAAAGAAGCCAATCTGAAAAGACTACTTAATGGATAATTCCAACTATATGACATTTGGAAAAGGCAAAACTAAGGAGATAGTAAAAAGATCAGTGGCTGCCAGGGGTTAAGTGGAAGGGAGAGATGAATAGGCGAAGACAGGATTTTTAGGGTTGTGAAGCTACTCTGTATGATACTATAATATCGGGTACATGTTGTTATATATTTGTCCAAAACCATAGAATGTACAACACCAAGAGTGAATCCTAATGTAAACTATGGATTCTGGGTGATAACGGTTCATCAGTTGTAACAAATGTCCCACTCTGATGGTGCATGTTGATAATTCGTGAGGCTACGCATGTATGGGGGCTGGGGGCATATGGGAAATTTCTGTAACTTCTGCTCAATTTTGCTGCTAACTTAAAACTGCTTTATAAAATATGGTCTATTAAAAAAAAGACAGTTTAACTTGTATAAATTTAGTACTAAAAGAATTTCAAGCATCACTGGGGAGAGTCTTGTAAACAATGCAATTTTTTGTGAGGAAACAAACTGGTGTCATTATGGATACTTTTTCTTAGAAACAAACCAAGTAGAAATCTGATTTTTTACAAAGAGAAATCAACTTCTGGTATAGTGAAACATATGCTTCATGAATGTAAAATTTGATGTTCAAATCAAGAAAAATATATTTAACCATTTCTCTTGAGTTTTGTGTGACAGCATTTTGTTTCACAGTTGAGATTACTGAGGCAAATATCAGGAGAGGATGAGGAAGGTATCCAGATTTAATATTTATTAGTGTTATACACTCTCAAGCTAAGCAGTAACTTTACTGGCCAAGACCCCTCTTATCCTCCTGGACCTGGAGGGTGAGGTGGAGTTTCCTTAGGCTGGAAAGTTCTCAGACCTCCCCTCCATAACTTCCTTTCTCAATATCCACATGTTGTGCAAGATATCCACAATTCCCTATTGACACTGTGACTGGCCAAGCTGGAAGAGGAAAATTCCTCAACTCTGGCTGTCTTTAACTAGTCCAGAAATGATCCTCTTCCTCCTAACTTCCACCCCAGATCCACAAAGATTGGGGTGAGAATTTGGTCAAATTACAGTCTTGTTTAATGAAAAAAAAGTTAACAGGTTAAAAAATTGTCAGGATAAAAGAGTGGGATGGAATAGTTTACAGTAGAAACATTTTTTTAAATACACATATTTTTCCAAAATTTGGAAATGGGTCAATCCAGGGTCATCACATCACTGTGATAACTGGCCAGTAGAGTGAAAAAGTAAACTAGGAGTAAAGAGTGGGCAACATGAGGGCCCTTAGAGTCATCTATTCCAGCATCCTCAGGTTCTATATGATCTCCAAGGCTCACAATTGGATTGTAATGAAGAGTGTGCCAGGAATACAGCTGGAAGAACCAAATGAAAACCTAGGCTCCCTCTCAGACTAATGGTCTCGCTCCTTCACCACACAGCTTCTATGATCAGCCATTTAAAATGATTCTTGGTTTCCATATTTGTAAAAATAAATGTTTTAACAGCGTACTTTGTCTCCTTCACATTGTGTGGAGGATTCACCTAGAAGAAAAAAAATCCTAAAACAGAATTCTGGAATTCTATAACCCTGTTGGTTCTTCATTTCTAAGGCTACATGAGCAGCATGAGGTGAAACAAACAAAATGGTTATTTAAATGTTTTTTTCCCCCTGGGGGAGAGAGGATAATAGCTTTGGACAGTTCCTCGCTTGTGGGGGAGGAACAGGACTTGAGAAGATTAATTCCAAGCTCCTGAGGGGCTTAGGAGACTAGAAGAAGGGTATGAGCCCAAAGCCTCCTCAGGGGAAATCTTTGCCTCCCGCCTCTATCATCCATTGATGCGTCTCTGCTGACCTCTCCTCCTCTCTTGGTTCCCGTGGTACCCTGGACACACGACCTGTCCTGCTACCCAGGACACTGGCCACCCTTTGTTTTCAGGTTTTGGACTCTTCTATCTAGCATCATTGACAGGGGTGCGCTCCAAGTAGGTCTCACCACCTCCATGGTTCCGTCCAACGCCTTCCTGCTGATCTCCCCTCCTGCCCTGTCCACCATGGTATGCCCCAGGACAAGACTGGAGAGGCAGCGGCACTTCACTAGCACATGTAGCTGCGGGTAGCCAGTCAAGGAGTGGGAGGTTAGGGGCCAGGGTTCCTCGGGTTGCGGGGTAGGGGTCGCTTGCTGCCTGAATCCAGCCGCCAGCCCTCTTTATAGTCGAAGGCGGGTATGGGGGGGAAGTTAAGGAGGAAGAGGATCATTTCTGGACTAGTTAAATACAGCCAGAGTTGAGGAAGTTTCCTCTTCCAGCTTGGCCAATCACGTGCAGTGTGCCCTCTGGGAAGTCATTGTCTATCTCTGGGCCTTGAATTCCTCTTCTGCTTGCCAGTGCTAAACTTTGATTTCAGGAAAGGCAACCCCACTAGTCCCAAGTTATCTTTCCCCCAAGGCTGTTTGAGGACCCTAGCTGTTCCAATGAGAGGCCCCTTGAACCTTTGTTGCTAACCTCCTCAACTGGGAGCAGCAGGTTCAGTCATCAAGGCACACAATGGCAGTTGAAGAGCCCTTTTCCACCTCATCCCTTGGTCAGAACCAGATCTTACACCACCAGCAGCTTACCTTTTTTTCCCTCAGCTCCAGATAACATCAAGATGCCCAAGATTGAAGAAACTGTGCTCCAGAATGATTCCAGTGAAGCAGAGGGTGAGGCCCATAAGCCTGAAACACCAGAGCAGAGCCAGGAAAACAAGAGCTTCTGTTCAGAAGACCACTGTCCTGGTAGGTCTAGAATTCTACCATCGCTTCCTTGGGTAGTGCTTGATAACAGTTAGGTTAAAGGAATAGACAGCCTGTGGGTTAAGTGCCTTTAAGGAGCACAGAAGGCTCTTGCAACCTTGCATTTTTCCTTTCTTGTCCTTCAGCTATGCCTCTTTTGGATTATTCTTTTCCTTGTCTTTTTTCCCCTCTAATCTTTACATATGGGACCTAGGCCCCTAATTGGCAGGTAAAATTAAAAGACATTTTGGCTCTAGAGAAATAGGCCAACAAAGCATAATTACTTGTGTTTGACAAGACTTGAGAGTAGTTGAGTTACTTCAAAACATGGGAAATAGTTTGCATTCTCGTGTTTTGATTTTGTAGATTGTAAATGGTGGGTCTAGGATAGATTTGAAAGAATCCAAATTATCTAGTGTTGGAATTGTGTTCTGTCCTTTTCCAGGGGTATTTTGTTGACATAAAAATTATCACTGCTCTAGGGTAAAATTCTTTAGATCTGTAATAACTGTTTTTCTCTTTACATAAGGACATGAGGTCTCTTCCACACCTTATGGTAGACATTTATTTGAGGTTTTGCTTCGACTAACCCAACCTCATAGGAACTCAAATTGCAATTCTCTTACAATAATCTCCAATGAATTTAACCAAATATCAATCTGAAGATGTGTCAAAGTGTAGTGACTTGATCTGAACTCTTAAAGACAGAAATGGGAAAAATAGTTGGAAACCACAATACTAAATTGAATCATATATGTTTCTCTGGTGGCCACTAAGGGTCACTGCTAGTAAACAGAATAGTGCAATTCTTAGTTCATAGTGTGTCTGAAATAAATGGCTTAGTGCAGTGATTAGCTGGTATATTTTAACATATATAGCTTTTTAGTTAGTGTAGAATGGAAATGTGAATTGATGGTACTAACTTTTGTTAAAGACTTTTTGTGTGTGTGTGTGTGAGGAAGATCAGCCCTGAGCTAACATCCATGCTAATCCTCCTCTTTTTTTGCTGAGGAAGACCGGCTCTGAGCTAACATCTATTGCCAATCCTCCTCCTTTTTTTCTTCCCCAAAAGCCCCAGTAGATAGTTGTATGTCATAGTTGCACATCCTTCTAGTTGCTATATGTGGGACGTGGCCTCAGCACGGCCGGAGAAGCGGCGCATCGGTGCGTGCCCGGGATCTGAACCCGGGCCGCCAGTAGTGGAGTGTGCACACTTAACCGCTAAGCCATGGGGCCGGCCCAAAAGACTTTTTTTAATGAGAAGTGAATGTACATAAGTAGACTATCTCCTTGGCGAGTTTGAGGATTCTTATATGTGAGTTTTTTAATAACTTGGGGATAAATAGTTCTCTCTGAACAAATTATGGAATTATAGTGAAAGTGAGTGAGAAAATAGTTTTATTGCATGTTTTATTTTGTATACCAAGTAATAATTATAAATACTATATGTGCTTACTACGTATCACTGCTGTAAGTAAGTAATCTGTGTAATGAACTCAGAACAGTGGTTACCAAATTCCAACGTTAGCGTATGACAAAGTTCTTACCAATCTTGAATGAAATAAAACAAAGATATTGTAATAAGTTTTTTAAAATAAAGAAATTGATCCAATTTAAAGGATTACTGTATGCTGACTTTATTTCCTTTCTGCCTTTTGGGATGTTAAAATCTACTTTTTAAATGAAATGATTATTTCAATGATGGTAAGGTGGATTTTTTTGTTTGTTTGTTTGTTTGCCTTAATTGCGTATGTGGAAACATAAAAATTGGCAAATCATTGTCAGTCACTCATTTTTTTTTTGGACATTTTATTGGTCTGTGGAATCCCAGGATTTGAAGACCATGCTTTAAGCATGGTTCAGCTTAAGAGCCATCTAGTAAGATTCATGATGTTATCTATAAAGAGACTCTCATCTTGTGTATCTTCCTATCTCATCAAAGGTAGGAAGAGAAGAGTGGAAACAGTAACTTTTAGATAAATGTTTATTTTATAAACCACAACTTATTCTTTGTTTTGTTGCTGTTTTACTTATTGTTTTGACGTTCCAAAAAATGGTTTTGAATTCAGTTTCACTTTTTCTTTTTCATAAACTAACTTCTCTTCTCCTCATGCCTGACTTCTCTAAGTTTCTAGTGCTGTTGAAGGGCAAAGAGTTCAGAAAACCTCAAATACTAGAATGATTGAGTCAGTCTGTGTAAGATCTATTTGATGAATCTAAATTTGGTGGCATTACTTGGCTGAGTGAATCTCTGAATAAAAGAAAAATTCTACTTGTGTGGGTTCCCTGTTGCTGATTGCTATACCTTTTTCCAGAGCGCCAACCTGAAGTACTTTCTGTCACAGAGCTGATAGAGACAATTAACGAAGTTTCTAAGCTTAGCATTGCTCATGAAATCGTGGTAAACCAAGATTTCTATATGGAAGAGAGTGTTTTAGCTCCCAACAGGTACAGACTCTCCTACTTTTTCCATTTTACTCCTCCTGACATAGGTACATAGCACAAATGACTTTTGATCATTTTTGAAGCACTTTTATTAATACAATTAATGTTTGAGTATGTCTTAAGTGGTACCAATAAATAAAACAGAGGAGTAATCAGTGTAACTATTAGTTTCAAAGAGTCAAAGCAGAAAAATTATATTTAAACAAGAAACAAACCAATGTAATTATTGTCAGAATGTTCCTCTCGATATCCCAGTTAACAATGAAACACAGAGTGAATTTCAGATCTTCTTAGACAGCTTTGGAGGAAATATCTCCCAGCAGTTACTCTTTTAATTGTCTACAAATTATACAGGTACAGATGAAAAGATTACTTTTCTAATAGTGGTATTACCAACCTTTCATGGGATAAGAGATTTCAAAGAACATTTCTGCTTCATAATCAGCTTAATAAAGATTCTATAAACCAAGATCAGAACCTCATTGATAAATAATGCCCCTCTAAAATCAGGCTTTATTCTGGTTCTTATTAATTATATTGTTATTGCAATACATAAATAAGAGTCATTCAGTAAGTATGAATTGAATGGTTTGTTAATAGTCAAGTGGGTAAATTTCTTTGTTGAAACCTATACTGTATAGCATTTCTAATTCCCCACCTTAAATGCTTCTATTTTGCCATTTTAGGGATTCTATTACTAAAGCACCTTGCCCTATCAGTGTTTCTTTTGATCTTCACACTCTTTAGTTTGCCCTTGCCTGTTGCCAATAGGTACTCATGCCAGGCACAGCTTCCCTGAAGGAGGTTTTTACCAAAACACAGGTTTAATAGAATCTTTCTCACTGCCTTCACTGTCCTTGGATCCTGAGCTACATTTATTTTTCTGCTAGTAGGGGTGCCGAGAAAGTGAAGCTTGGAGAGTGCAAGTCTGTTGAAGTGGTTGGGGGTCATGGTGGTGATGAGAGGCAGATAAATGAAGCAGAGGAAATAATACTATTTAGAGCTTAACTTTCATTGTTTTGTTATTAACAGCCTTATTCTAGTGTAGTAATGCAAAAAGTATACTGGGAAAGAGGTTGAAATAGAATTTGAGGTTATCTATTATCTACAGGTAATCGATGATTGGTTTTACCTTTGGGCTTATAAAATGACACTAACTACAGTTATAGATTCCTAAGGGAAATCTTATTGTCAGATAGTTGTTCAACAAGCATTTATTGAGTACTTACTAGGAGGAGGGCAGAATGTTGAATGCTGGGGACATATAATGAATAAGATGCTGGCTTTGTCATCAAGAAGCTTCTGTAGGGGAGATTGTCAAATAGTAGATAGCTACTGTGCAATGATAAGTTCTCTCATATCTAGTATATGGAGTTCTGTGTTTGTGCTCAGCTTTCAGGAACACTTTCCTGACAAGGTAACACTTGAGTATTGGAGTATGAATAGGTGCTTTTCAGGTGGTCTAGGGGGAAAAGGATTCTCCTGGAAGTGGGAATGACATGTCAGAGGCATAGAATGGTGGAAGACGATTATATATTCATTATAAGCAGATTGTTATTGTTGGAGCACAGAGTGTTAGAAGGAGGAAGGCGATAAGGTAGGAGAAGTGGCAGAATAGGATCATGAAGGGTCTTAGAGGCCATGTATCCTGCTGGTGATGGGGAGCCCCTAAAGGACTTTAAAAGAGCATGCCATTATGATCAGATTTGTATCTTAGAAAAATAATTGATTCCAGCAAGAATATGTGGCATTGCGGTAGTAAGACTTTGTCGGGGCAGGAAGACCATTTAATAGACTATTGCAATAGTCCAAGTGGGAGATGATAGTAGATGGGGATGGATTCCAGAGATATTTACGAAGCAAAATCTCTGGAATTTGGTGACCAAGTGGATAAAAGGGATGAGGGGAAAGTAATTAAGAAGGACTCCAGTACACACCAGATAAATAATAGTTGGTAACATCTCACAGGTGGGATTGGTGTGTTGAGGGAGGAACTTTGAATTTTTTTTCATTTATCTTTGTATTGCTTGTAAAATTTTTAACAAAAACATACATTACTACTGTATTTTTTAAGAGGAAAAGGGCTCAGATTTCTGGTTTGCATGAACAAGGAACAGATTTGAAAGGGGAAGATAATGAGTTCAATTTTCAGCTTGCTGAGTTTGAGGTGCATGTAAGAATTTCAAGTGTTATCAAGAAGAAAAATCCTTTACTCGATTTCAAGACTGAAGGAAAAAGATCATCTAGTTCAAAAGTATAAGCCTATGAACTAAAGGCACACATTTAGGTTAGGTGCAGAACCAGGGCTAAGACTCAGGGGCTCAACCCCTAGTTCAGTGTTCTTCCTACTGCAGAAGGAGAGCTTCTCTGGAACCATGAGGTACCCTTCTGAGAGGATTTGGCCAATGCCTTTGCATCCGAGACTAAACTCAGTTTATTCAACTCTGCTCAAGTTTAAACATAGCTCCTGGCCTATCAATTTAATGGTCTTTCGTGATCTTAAATGCTGTTTTGGATTTAGGAGATTATGATCCTATATCAGTTCTCAGGGTAAAGAGCAATTTTCTCATTTAACCTTCTTATAGTCTGGAAGGCAGGTTCGTGGAGACAATGTACAAAGCTTTTTGGGACCGTCTGAAAGATCAGCTATTGAGTACTCCCCCTGACTTCACTTGTGCTCTTGAACTTCTAAAAGAAGTTAAGGAGGTGAGTAACCAACCTCCCATTTGTGGATGTTGTTTCTGGGCGTCTCAGACCTTTGGATTGTTGATGGCTACCAATATCCTAAGTAGCATACTTCCTTTCTGAACATGGTCCACTACTTAAATAGATAATATGGAGAAGCTTCCATTTTATTTGTATGAGATGAATCTTGAAAGTTGGGATCTTGTTATAACAACACAGTATATCATTCAGTTAATCAGATTTTTACTGAATCCTCACTATGTTTTATGTGTTTCAGAAGCATGTAGATGAATGAGAGCCCTTGCCCACAAGGAACTTACACTTTTGAGTCGAAAGGCTATTTTAAGTGACCCTTAATGGTTACTTTGCCTATTTCTCCTTTGCCCTTTGAAGTAAAACAATCTAAAGATGTCCTTATCCCGTATTAAGGATGTCTCATCACCTTGTGGTGGTGTCTATTTTATATTTTTTATATCCTGCACTTCCTTTATCACACTCTTGTTCTTATTCATATCTTTATCTCATTCTGCCCAGAAAATAATATGGCACTACTGTTATTACTGATCCCAATGAAGCCTTGAATTGTAGTTGGCCCCAAAACAGAGAGAAATAATATTCTCTATAAGAAATTTAGAGACCTAGTTTCTGGACCCCCAAAAGACGTAGGCTGGGATGCTTTTGTCTTAAGGGAGTTGTTCATTGGGGAATGTTTGGAGTTCTAAACAATTTGGCTCCGTTGATTTTCTTTTCTGGGCAGATCTTGCTGTCACTGCTATTACCACGCCAGAACCGCCTAAGAAATGAGATTGAAAAAGCTCTGGACATGGATCTCCTCAAGCAGGAAGCAGAACATGGGGCCCTGGATGTCGCTCATCTCTCTAACTGCATTCTTAGTTTGATGACCCTGCTATGTGCACCAGTCCGAGATGAAGCAGTGCGGAAACTAGAAAGCATAACAGATCCTGTGCAGTTACTGAGGTGAGAAACTAAATGTACTGTCCCTGAAATCTGCCTTAGATACCGTGAGAAAAAACTCAGGGCCGGATACTGTGTTATCACCCTTGCCTTGTCTAGCTCTTCTATACTGGAAAAACTGACTAGCACCTCTTTTTTTTTCTTCGCTGGACTATTGGCTTTTATTTTCTGAGGACAGTCTCTCAGGGCCTTTGTGATGATCTTTAGATCTTTAGGTTTGGACCCCTATTAAGAAATGATGCTGTTAAGACATTAAAGTACAGTAATTATTTCTTCTAGAGATTCCAAACAGCCCTTTTCCAGATGTTATTCTGTGTGTCCTAACTCAAACTCTGTGAGGGGGCATGAATGAGGATTATCTCTGTTTCACAGTTAGAAGAACCAAGACCCAGAAAAGTAAAGTGATATGCCCAATGATTTAGAAATTAAATCACCATCATTCCAAATACCTACAGATAGTTGTTAGGACTTTGGTCATTTTCCTTCCGCCAACTACCCTTTTTTCTGAGAAGACAGAGTGGCTACAGTGGAAAGAGCTCTAGACTGGTAACCAAAAGGTCAAAAAATGTATCTGTCCCTAGCTTTGCATGCAGTTCACTCTATGGCCTTGGGTCACTGGCCTCAGTGTCTTTATTTGTAAATTGAAGTAGGGCTGTTGTTTTTAAGGCCCCTTTTAACTCTAAAATCAATGATTTTAGGACTCCTTGCTTGGATTCCACCCCTCCATACCAGATTTCCTTTCATACTGTAAATATTTGATTTCTCTCTATGACAGGGGTATCTTCCATGTTCTGGGCCTGATGAAAATGGACATGGTAAACTATACTATCCGGAGTCTTCGACCCTACCTGAAGGAACATTCCATCCAGTATGAACGAGCTAAATTCCAGGAACTCCTCGACAAGCAGCCCAGTATGTTTACAATTTAAAGGCAGGAGAGGGAAGATTTGACCTTGGATCTGCCTTTTTACAGTGATAGAGTATTTTCTATTTTCTGAATAGAAAATTTCTTCCTTGGGTAAGGGATAGGGAGAAGGAGCATTTCTCTAAGACAGAAAGACCTACAAAATCACTTCTTTATTGACCAAGAGTGTATCTTAAAGCCTTGGTCTTTGAGTCTTAGAGTTTGATGATACTTACGTATTCCCTTCTATGTCATAGATCTCCTTGATTGCACCACAAAATGGCTAACCAAAGCAGCAACAGACATCACTACACCATCTTCGAGTTCTCCTGACTCTCCTAGCTCCTCCAGTATGGCCTGTTCACCTCCAAATTGGGCAGCTAACAACTCAGAGCTCCCCACTCCCACAATGGTGCTATACCAGGGTTACCTGAACCTTCTTCTCTGGGATCCTGACAATGAAGAATTCCCCGAGGTAGGAATGTGTGTTAGAGCATTGCCTTTTTGTTTTGTTTTCAACATCTTCACTAGAACCCTCCTCTCCTGGCAACCCGCTCTTCCCTGCCTCACCAGACTCTGCTGATGGACAGAATCCGGCTGCAGGAGATGGAATCCCAGTTGCACCAGTTAACCATCCTGGCCTCAGTCTTGCTAGTGGCCAGAAGTTTCTCTGGTTATGTTTTATTCAGCTCACCTGAATTTGTGGATAAATTGAAATGCATAACCAAGGCCCTGACGGAGGAATTTAATTCCAGGTAAGCTTCATAGATCTTTCTTAGAGTTGAAAATAATATGTGTTTTTTGGGACATAGGCAGGTAATGTATTATTGCTTATACTTCATCACAAACCACACAAAGGACCTTGGGAACCATCTGCAAAGATTGTTGGTGTCTTTTGATAAGTTATATTGAGGCTTGGGGTAGAAAAAATAAAACCTCTTTCCGAAGAGGAGAGTGTGGCTAGTTTGCTACAAATGATTCGTTATCACGTTTGCCAGGAATGGGTCATTATATACTTGAATGAGTGACAGATTTGTGTATGTATATCTAGAAGTTGATCAGTTGGTCAATAATATTGATTGATCATTCACTGCATACAGGGCACCACAACCAAAGTAAAAGAGGAATTAGAAGTCCAGTTCTCAATATATTTGCAATTTAATTGGTAAAGTAGGAAAAACAACCATGGAAAATACCCAAGAAAATCTTAAAACCATATTTAAATAAAGTTTATGGAACTAAAGAATACTGAATGGATCCAAGGATAGAACTGAACCCTCGTCCAATTTATCTTGTGTTGTTTGGAGTGGAATATAGTACTGTATTATGAATTAGTTGGGTAACAATGAAGGTATTTCACCTACACACTAGGTCCTGCTATTTAATAGTGGCGGGGAGCTGAAATTCTCCTTTGAGTGGATCTGGCTTCTGGTCTGGAGCTCTCTGGGCTTTGCCCTTATGCCAGGGCCACTCGCTTTCTGTCCTTCATTTCTAGGCCTGAAGAGGCTATGCTGAGTGTGAGTGAACAAGTGTCTCAGGAAATCCATCAAGGCCTCAAAGACAGGGACCTCACTGTCCTGAGCAGCAAAAACACAGCATCTCTTATAGGCCAACTCCAGAACATCGCTAAGAAGGAGAACTGTGTTCGTAGCATCATTGGTAAGAGTCTCACGGTGGTGGTGGGGAGGGATGACAAGAATTTGGAAGATGTACAGATGGCCTCAACCCTGAAAGTCAGTTACAGAACCATTTAAAAATGGGAAAGCATGATCATTAGGAAAGTCTTTTGGCTTTAGTTTCCTTATCTATAATGTAAAGGGTTGAAATAGATCTCTTTCAGTTTGAAGAGTTTATGTGTGGTTTTAAGGTGGATCTGTGGATCAGCTAGGATATAACTTTCAGATGTGAGATACTGTCCCACCAACCCTACTAAATCATCCCTGATCATTCTCTAACTGTAGTCCAAGACCTATGTTGGGAAACCCTTTCTCTATCCCATGCTTTAGGTTACCGTGCAGGACCCTACTCCCCCCAAGGAACTGATGCTGACTTAGACTGTAGAACATATTCTATGTTGGAATGAAAGTGGTGACCTTGGCCAGCTTGCTTCTAACTTTTGCATCTTAACATAGTCAGATTTCGGTGTGTGGTCCTGAACTTGGTACACTGGCTGCAATCTGTGCCCTTAGAATTTCAGGTACAGTGTCTAGGATCTTCTTGTTAGGTCAAATGCACACACCAGGAACTCACTTAGAGCTGTGTAATCTTATGAACAGCCAGAAATTTACCAGCTCAACATCTTTTGATAATGCATTGTCTTTAGGAGCTTGATAGCATTCCCCCCTCCAAAACAAAACAAACAAATCTCATTTATATGGTTTATACAAATGAGTGGGTTGGTCAGTGAATATCTCAATTAACTTAAACTTTGTGAGCAGAGAGTGCAAAGGGCAATGTGAATTTCTTCTGAAACCTCTTTGATCTTCCTCTTTTCATTGTTTTCCTTGCTCACAGATCAGCGGATCCGTTTGTTTCTCAAATGCTGTTTGGTTCGTGGCATGCAGGAATCTCTGCTAGACTTCCCTGGAGGCCTTATTCTCATCAAGGGGGAGTTGGCAGAACTGGGCTGGAAGTTTGTCAATCTGATGCATCACAATCAGCAGGTATTTACCCCCTACTATGCTGAAATCCTAAAAAGTATCATCCCTCCAACTCAGGCATGAGAAACAGAAGTGGAATCTATCTGATGATGTTGGACCTCAGCTATGGCAACAGGGACCCAGGAGACAGGGTTCAGCATGTTCCTGGTGACATCACCTGTGGCCAGCAGAGCAGCCAGTCCTCTTCCTAACTACAGCCAGGACACAGGGCTGCAGGGTTCAAGCATGTAAACACTGACTGGCCCAATCCCGTTCATTAATAAACTTCTGAGCTGCAAGAAAACCTCAATTCCTTCTGTGTTGCAACTGAATCCAGGTTCTGTGGCATTATCCCTAACTAGCTGAGAAGCCAGTGAGCCCTCAGTTTTCTCTTCACTGGCTGATCATTCTTCAGTATCCTGGCTTGAGCAGGCATCAGGTGCTAACATTATTTTCTCCAATGGAAAATCATTTCCTTGAGGGCTATAAAAACTTTGTGGTATTATCCACAGTGTGAGTATAGGGGCTTCTGGAAGTCAGAAATTCACTGAGTTATAGATTAAGAGAAGACATAGAACCCAATGTCCAGTACCAAATTTTTCTATAATTTTAAAGGATACAGCAATAGTAAGAGCCCCCACCTTTTCTGATGTGTGACACAAAGCAGTATGAAAACAGAGGACTGGATGAAAATTGATATTGTCTGCTAATAAGCATTCAGTTGAGAAACAGTTCTCAGCATCCATGGAATTTTTTTTCTCTCCATCTCAAGTGATCCTGGGGGTCAGTCAGGGTTGGCGTCTCTGTTAGTGACACCAAATCCAAGTGGTTAGGTCAGTGACTGACTTGAGTCAAGTTCATCCCTGGTCCTGTTCTATAGCTGAATAAATCTCCTGTTTTCACCTTTATAGGCTTAGAACACCCCATTCTTCTCGACAGAAGTCATGTAGGTATTCAAGGTGGGGCAGCCGCCATGCTTCTTCCTGCTTGCAGTCTGGAATTCTAACTGCCAGGTTATGATTGTCAGCTCAGTTGGCATCACAAATGACAGGTGTTCTCGGTACACAAGGACCTGAGCTTGTTTTCTGAGATTGTAGAGATTCTTCCTCTCATTCTCAGGCCAACTGCAACAGACCAACAGCAACCTAAGAAATTAGAAAAAAAATTGGTTTGGATTTGAACTTGTTTGGAATGGACAGAAGAAAATAAAAATTTACTTATGGGATATTATAACTGGGTGAAAAAAATATCCTCACCGTTTCAGGGGATGAAAAGAGCTAAGTATAATTTACTTAACCCAAGAACAACAACAGATGGGATTTGAGTCCCATTAGTCCCAGGATAATTTCTCTAGAGGGTGGATCCCAGGTGGTTGACATAGCTAGGAGAATAGAGTGACACTTTTACTTTGGCTGGATGTAGGGTACACAGAGAAACTGGGGAATGGATCATTCAAAGGCGTTAATCGTGTGATTTAGACAGTTTCAGGGTAGAGACCAAGGCTGGTGAATGGTGTATTTAATAAACTGTATTTAATAAACAGACAGTGAACTTTGTCTAGTTGAATTTTCTAATCTTATTGCCAATATTAATACATTTTTTTTTAAAAATCTTAATTTTGGAAGCCTGATTATCTTATAGAAAAATATGATCTGAAGGGACCCCTGTGGAAATGACTGAGTATGTGGCAGATACAGACATTGGACTGAAATGAAAATTTGCTTTATACTTTATAATTAAAGTTTGGCATGATTGATTTCTCAGAGATTCTGAGTTGGTTCTCTATTTCCACATAGAGAAGATAGGAATCTTAATCCTAAACAGGGAAAAATAGCTCCATTCAATCTTGCTCACCATTTAGGGAAAAAAAGAATATGTAAATCTTCTTTGGAGAAATGTCTGTTCAGGTCTTTTGTTAACTATCAGGGAAATGCAAATCAAAACTACAATGAGATATCACCTCACACCCATCAGAATGGCTATACTTAACAAGACAGGAAACAACATGTGTTAGAGAGGATGTGGAGAGAAGGGAACTCTCATACACTGCTGATGGGAGTGCAAACTGGTGCAGCCACTATGGAAAACAGTATGGAGATTCCTCAAAAAATCAAGGATAGAACTACCATATTGATCCAGCTATTCCACTGCTGGGTATTTATCCAAAGAACTTGAAAACACCAATGCATAAAGATACATGCACCCCTGTGTTCATTGCAGCGTTATTCACAATAGCCAAGACTTGGAAGCAACCTAAGTGCCCATCAAGGGACGAATGGATAAAGAAGATGTGGTATATATACACAATGGAATACTACTCAGCCATAAGAAACGATGAAATCCAGCCATTTGTGACAACATGGATGGACATTGAGGGTATTATGCAAAGTGAAATAAGTCAGAGGGAGAAAGTCAAATACTGTATGATTTCCTTCATTAAGTAGTAGATAATAACAACAATAAACAAACACATAGAGACAGAGATTGGATTGGTGGTTACCAGAGGGGGAGGGGGGAGGGAGGAGAGTGAAAGGGATAATTTGGCACATGTGTGTGGTGATGGGTTGTAATTGGTATTTGAGTGGTGAACGTGATGTAATCTATGCAGAAATAGAAGTATAATGATGTACACCTGAAATTTATACAATGTTATAAACCAATGTTACTGCAATAAACAAAAAATTAAAATAAGGAGAAAAAAAAGAATATGTATAAATTGGTATTACATGCACGTGGTTAAAAAAGACATGTGGTGAAAAGTCAATTTCTCCCCCACCGTATGTCTCATTTTCCCTACCCAGAGGAAACCATTGTTACCAGATTTTTGTGTATCCTTCCAAAGATATTCTGTGCAAATGCAAGTACATATTATAATAATAGATAATGTTTATGAGCACATATGTGCCAGGCACTCTTTTAAGCTCTCTCTATATATGATTTCATTTATTCCTCCACAGTTTATCTCCAGTCTGTTTTTCCAATTTTAGTGCACTGTGGCACAAGAAGCTCTAACCGGGAGTTAGGACCCATTTTTTGTTTGTCTTCTCTGGCTGAGTGAGTAAGGGAAAATCTTTTCACTTTTCTGGGATTATTCATTTTTTCATCTATAAAATTGTGTATTGGACTAAATCAGTGATTTTATTGTTTAATCATATATAGTCATTTTTTAACAAATGAAATATTCCCAGAAGGCCATGAATGAGATAAAAACTAAACAGCTTGAGTTGAAGCAGAGCTGGAATAAATAGTTTTGAGGATTGTTTGAAAACCACTGGACTAGATGATCTCTAAAGATTCCTGTATTATTTTCTTATGGCTGCTGTAACAAATTACCTCCAACTTGTTGGCTTAAAACAACATGCTTTTATTCTCTTGTTGTCCTGGAAGTCAAGTCCAAAATCAGCTTCACTGGGTCGAAACCAAGGTATTGGCAGGGCCACCCTCCCTCTGGCAGCTCTAGGGGAATATTTGTTGACTTGCCTGTTCTACTTCTAGAGCTGCATTCTTGTATTCCTTGGCTTGTGACCCACTCCTCCATCATCTAAACTAGCAGCATAGCATCTTGCTTCAGTCATTACATTGCCTTTCTCTTCTGTGTGAAATCTCCCTCTTCCTTCCTCTTAATAAGAACATTTATTATTACATTTAGGGCCCACTAGGATAATCTCCCCATCTCAAGATCCTTAACTTAATCACATCTGCAAAGTCCTTTTTGCCAAATAAGATTACATTTACAGCTTCCAGGGACTAGGACATGAATATCCTTGGAGGCCATTTTTCAGCTTACTCCAGTCTGTCTTCTGACCCCCCAAAGATTTATATCCATCCTACATGCAAAATACATTCACCTAATCTCAATATCCCCAAAGTCTCAACACATTACATATCAACTCAAGTCCAAAGTCTCATCTGTAAATCATTTAATCAGGTATGTGAGAAACTGGGTATGATCCTCCCTGAAGCAAAATTTCTCTCCATAAGCGGGCCTGTGAACTAGCAAAAAATTACTTCCTCCCAAATTACAATGGTGGAATAGGCATAGGATAATAGTTACAGACATTCCCACTCCAAATGGCAGAAAATGAAGAAAAGAGTTATCGGCTCCAAGTAATCTTGAAATCCAACCAGGCAAGTTCCATTAGGCTTCAAGGTCTGGGAATAAGCCTCTGTGGCTGGAGGTTTTGCCCTCTGCACCTGAGGCTCCACCCTTTACATCCAAGGCTCTGTCCTCAGAGTCATCCTTCCATTTTTCTCGAAGGATAGTAAATGTTTGCAGCTAAGTACTTTTATCAGCCTGTTTCTCGCCTGTAGAATTTTGGGAATCCAACAGCCTTCTTTTATTTGGTCTTCTCTCTGTCTCATTCAGTTCAAGTTGGCAGTGTTCCTGCTGATATAACATTCTCAAAAACCTTATGGGTCTACTGTGTATGTGTCAAGGACTCCACTTGACCAAAGGATCTTTCATAGATCTTTTCTGGATAAACCTATCCCTATTCCTGGATTCTGCTGAGATGGTTGAGGGGATTAATGAGTCACATGTTTAATCTCCTCAAAGATCCCTCTGTACAAATGAATATTCTGATCTTTTCATCCTTCCAAAGCTCTAGCAAAAGACTGTCCAGCCATACCCTTGGCTTTCTCTTTAGGGCATGCTTTTCTCGTAGTGAATCTCTTGATTTTAGCATCTTTTGTAATCTGAATAGGCTGAAAATTTCCCAAATTATGAAGTCCTCATTCTTTTATGTTTATCAATTCTTCCCTCAATTTATGTCTTCTTGTTTTTCACTATCAGCAGCAAGAAGAAACCAGGCCATGCCTTTAACATTTTACTTGGAATTCTCCTCAAATAAATTATCAAGTTCATCCCTTACAAGTTCTTCTTTCTACACAAATATAAGAAACAATTGACCTAGGCTTTCTGTCACTTTATACCAAGGTGACCTTTTCCTCTAGTTTCCAAAAACATATTCCCTATTTCCTTCTGAACCCTCACGAACAGGGCCTTTAACATTCATATTTCTACCAAAAGTCTGTGACAATTTAGGTATTCTCTAAAATGATACAGGCTTTCTCTGCTGTGCAAGTCACTTCCTCCTGTTATATTTTTTTATTGAGCTATACTTCACGTAACATAAGATTCTCCACTTTAAAATGTACATTTCAAAAGTTGTTAGTATATTCAGTATGTTGTACAATCATCACCACAATCGAATTCGATAATATCTCCATCATTCTAAAAAGAAACCCTGTACCTGTTAGCCGTCAGTCCCAATTCCCTATTGCCCTCATCCCTGGCAACTACTAATCTGCATT